TCCTGCCAGTACCCTTGTCTCTCTTTGGAAGAACCGCCTTCGAGATGGAGGGGAGCCTTGGCTTTCCTGCTGAGACTTTTAGCAGGGAGGCTAATTGTGATGGTGTTTTTTTATGATGTTCACACTTGTCCATTGGCAACTGAGCTAAGACCTATCAGACTCATTTCACAGAAGCCCCAGAACAGCAATCAGATGATAAAACCTTTCACATCCTTAACAGTCTAGAGTAACTTTGGTCCAGGTACTTGTTAGGTGAAAATATCTTTATGCTACCCAGATGCTTGTTTCTAAAAACTTGTAAAGCCTCCTATAAGCATGGTACCTGGGCTTTTGTGTCAGCCCTGTTTGCCTGGTAAATGCACAGCACAGGTTCAGGTGCTGGTTTTGAACCAGAAGTATCAAGTTCTAAGTGACCAGTTCTGGATGGACTAAAGCACAGTTCCCTGTTAAAGTGTTTGTATGAATCAAAATGAGTTGAATCCCCACCCCCAAATATCCTATTCCTGGATGCTACTGTAGTACAAATAATAGGATCTCCATGCCAAACAGGAAACCCACATGGGGAAATAAATCCAGCATATAAGCAGAAACAACCCCAGAGGTCCCATCCTTGCCAGAGAATACTGACAAGTACATTACTAGGGAGAGCGAAGTTGCATTTCTTGAAGCAGAAAGCCCAGCGCTCATCCCTCAAGCTGATGAGCATTTCCATCTGCTCTGATCTCAGTTGCTGTGTTGGAAGGGGATACAGGCATCGGTCTGTAAGGTGAAGGCCTGGGACTTTGTAAGGTTTGCTGTAATCATAGCCACTTGCCAGTTGTATTTCATGTTTCTGTGCATGAGACACTAAAGTGCCCCAACATTGTCTTGGATGGGCTGCCCCCAGCCACTTCAAATAAATATTTAATGAGAGTGAGATTGAGGCAGCCTAATGCCTGTGTTTTTTCTCCTAACAGAGTTCTGTCGAATCGATAAGCCCTTGTGTCACAATGAAGATGAGCAGCTCAGCTTTGAAGCCGTCCGCAACATCCACAAGCAGATGGATGATGATGCCAATGGCAACGTGGATGTAGAGGAGAGCGATGAGGTTAGTGTCCACTCTTTTCCTTTCCCCCTTCCTTATGCTCTTCTAGAGGTGGGCTACCCTGTTTTGGACAGTGCTACAAGGCAAGGTTTACTAATGACATTTTCTAGCACAGTTGTGCATCAACGAGTGACTATGTGCAGCACTGAACCTGCAGTCCAGCGTGGGCCAGGTGCTCCCTGACAGTAACCTGCTGAACTTTTGTCTTTTGCATTGGTGTCATCACTTCGCTCCAGCGTCTAGGTCAGCTGATTGGATCCGACCTGCAGGCAGGCACCCACCAATTAATTGTATCCAGCCTCACCAGTGGCTGCCCCTGCGGCGCACTGCATGGGCCTGGATGCTTCACCAGAACTCATTGAGTGGCCCTCCGGCTGAACTAATTGCCTGCCCCTATTTTAGGTAGCACCGTGATACAACTAATATTGCATTCCCAGAGGACTTCCCAGCTGCTGGATATTGAAGTTACCACGACTGCTTTCATCTAGCTTGAAAATGCTCCAAATAATCCAGCCTTTTCTCTCCATGTGGGTGCCTAAATATCTCAGCCAGCCCCCGTCATCTCCTGTCTTGATCAATGAAACCTTCTGCTCTGCTCTGTAGGCCCTTGCTGCAACCCTTTTAGTCCATCCCGATGCAGCTGCAAAGACCAAACTGCTTTTCTTGTTAACCCGCTCCCCTCACACTTTCCCTCCAGGTTATTCTACTGCCTCCTGCTTCTTCCCTGCAGCAAATTCAAGCTGCTTCTGACCTTCTGAGGCTTTCTGTGAATCTTCCTGCTTAGCTGACCTTGTTGCTTTGCATTCCCCTTCCAGTGATACCGGTCTCGAGGCTTTGTCTTTTAGTACCACAATGGGCCTTGTCCTGCCTTATGTATGGAGTGAATTCGCAGAGTGCGTTTGCAAGGCCATCTTCCTCCGAAGTCCTGCCTTAAAGCCTGCTTCGGCTATGCCTACAAGAAACGAGCCAATCCCGGTACCTCCTTGAGCTAGCTACCATACAGTTATCTTTGTTCCGTTTAATATTAATTCGCAAGCTCCTCAGGGCAGGAATCACATCTTGAGTGGTATTTTCCCTTAAATTGTATTAGAGTCTTGTGACAGCCTTCTTGAAATGGACATGTGTGGTTATTAGAAAAGGATTATACTGAAAGACTGTGCTTGCTAGCTTATTAAGGAAAGTCTTTCCATGTTATTACACCTCTCATAAACAATTAGGTTTTGTTACTTATTGACCTAACATTTATTTTTTGCTTAAGAGTAAATGCTTAAGAGTAAACGCTTTGGGCTTCAGTTAGTCAGGAGCTACTCTTCTGCGTGCCCATCCATAATTTGTCTGGGAGTTAAAACTCGGCTAAAAGAAAATGACAAGTTACAACATTATCTAGTCCGTGGGCTTCTCTTCTTCTATATCTCCGAATCTTCCACTGTCCAGCGCCTGGGTAATCACAGCAGCTTCTGCCATAAGGAATATGTCTTTGCTGTCACATGTTTTTGCTGGCTGGATGAAAGGGGAGGATATTGGGAGTCAGCAAAGACACTGAGTGAGCTCTCAATTTGAGGCCCAATTGCACATTCCTGTCTGCTGGAACAACTGTTGGATATGAGCCTAAATCCTTCCCTCACACTCTGTGGGCCAAGGACTGTTAGTGATACTGGTTTAGCTTGTCTGGCTCCTTTAGTCCTGTGTCCCTGCCTATTGCCTGGCTATTGGCTTTTTGTACATTAGGAAGGCGACTGCTCAGCAGCTGTTTAGAGTGGAAAGTCAGTCTTTGCAGTGCAGAGCCATGCCATTGTATAGTGTTTAAAGGTCCCTTGCTCCTCACGGAAGCCACACAAGGATTGTATTTTCCAGGCATTCCTATCTGATGCAGGCATTTCAGATGTGATGGTTTATAGGGCAGTCTCTTTAGTTTACTTCTTGGGATGACTTCTCTGATGAAGCTTTGCTAATGAACTCCAGAAATCCTGAAGCCCTGGCAATGAGTTGGTTATCACGTCTGAAGGCTGATTTTTTTTTTCAGCAGAAAAGTAACTAACTCTGCTCTTCCCAGAGTCATTTGTAGGAAGCACTTGGCAATGTATTTTTAAAAGGTGAGAGAGCACACACTCAAAGGCAGACCTATCTTTCTCATCTGATGGGGCCCAGGGGCAAAAGATGAGCGTTAAAGTACACATGCAGGTTTTGTCGGCATAATCAGGGCTAGGGAAAGAGTCCCTAGCCCCCTTCATTGAGAAGGTCCTCTTCCAGACCCACAAATCTCACCTCTGGCTTCCTAGCTGACCTTAGCTGAAGTAAAGCATGAAGAGCAGTGCCTCTCTTATCCACAACTTAACCGTATCAGGCTCATTGCATATCAACAATCCCTTTAAATTGCACCCGGAGACAAAGTGGGAGTCTGTGCAACGCGAAGAAGATTTGAGAAAAATATGACACTTCCTGCGTCAGTCGTCAGTACATTGTCAGACAGCTGCATCTTGCAACAGCTGAGTTCTCGGGCAGGTCTTCCCATGCAGAGTGAATCTAATCTATGACTGACAGATATTGAGTAATGGGTGGCCTTCTACATCTGATCGGAAAGAGAGGCGCTCTCAGCATTGTTAGAAGCAGCTGGGAGCCAGGCAGTGACAGTGAGTTTTGAACTGCTGTCCATTGCATACTGAAGCTATGTACATTTAACTCCTTTTAATCTTTCCTTTTAAGTCAGTCCCTGAATTTAGTTCTGGTTGTTCCTCTCAGATGTCCGTTCTGAAAAGGAGTAGACTATGTTAGTGTTTAGGTCTTGACGTCTTTGGTTCAGAAACTGATAAAAGCAGAGTAAGATATTCATTGCTTTCTTTTTCAGAGCATCTGGTCAGGGGCCCATGTTGTGATCAAGGCTATGAATTTGTAACTGCTCTGGCAGCCAGTGTTTTGGGTCTGTTTAACTTGTTGGGGGGCCCTTTTAGAATAGCTTGCATTATTTGCATGCATGCGCAAATGTTGTTCTATGCAAATACTTGTCTGTGAAAACAATGGCTGTGCCTCTGCCAAAGCACTGCTGTCTCTGTTTGCAACACTTACCTCTATCACTTAGTAGTGTATGCCAGGCCTTACCTAACTAAGGTGACGTAAATCACTGTCATCAGAGAAGACTACAAGGGAATGTCACTGTCAGTAGCTCTTTTTTATGTGAAAAGCTTGCAAGTCCTGTGATCGCTACTAATCTGCTTAAAGCTAGACTTGCCTGTTGACTTATCCTGCATCTTTCAGGCCTACACGATCATTATGAGTTTTTTATACAGTTGATGAAAGGTAATGTTTTCATCACTGGTAGCTGAAGATGTTTGCTGAACGGTCATAAGAATTTACAAAGCCTCAGTAACAGAGCAGTTGTTCTTCCAGCCTTTGAGGTTATTCTAAGAATATGAGCATAATGGCAAAGCATGCCTTGTTTCTGTAAGTGATAGAAAATTATTGTGGGTACAGTCCAGTAGAGCAATGTCAATACGCCTTATCATAGGTTAACCAAAGTAGAGATATAGCACAAGCTTTCATGAGCTGAAGCTCACTTCATCCAATGCTTTATCTCACAAGCTTGTGAGATGTCTACAGCACACACAGATATAGATATATCTACTGTGGTTAGTCCTGTAAAATACAAATCTATGCTGCTTTCTACTTGACGTCAAACTGACATAGCTAACTGTGTCTCTCCACCATTGTATCATGTCAGCAGGAGTAAAGGCTGTGGTTCGATCCTAAGTAGGATCCAGATATCTGTTCCAAGGGTACAGATACCCTTGGTTTCTCCTGTTCTCTGTGGCACGTGGTAGGTTTTGAGGCTGTTGTTCCTCTGTGTCCTCCCCTGGTCAGCGTAGTTCTCTGTCAAGGTGATGCCTGTGCTGCTGCTGTAGCCAGCGTGTGTTGTTTCAGAGTCCTCAGATGTTACACACACTGGTGGCATGGGTTGTTTCACTGGCAAAGGCTCGGCCAGGTTTATTACCTACAAAGCACCAACTCATGCACCTGGCCAGAGGCTTATAAGGTGTTAGCCCCAATGCTTGTGGTAAACCACAGGTATGACTCCAAAATTACTTGCGTCCCATAAGCCTAACACAGATCCCAAAGATTTCAGTCCTGTACACATGGATCAAACAAGTCTGCAGGTTTACATAATAAACCCCAGCACCTCTTCCAAACTACCCTAAGCCTCAGACCTCCTGCTACTAGCAGGTGTGTTCTTGATTCTGTAGCATCACCCTTATCAATCTGCCTTGAACACCCCACTGTCTTGTTAAATCGAGTCTCACAGGCATCCTGGTGGTGTGAGGTCAGCCTTTGGAGAGGCCTGCTTTAGTCAGCCCTCATGTGAGCTGTATATGCATTAATGAATGCTTATATTAATCAGTACTCCAGTGAGGCTTACAGAGGCCATTGGACTTTTTACTCCACGTCCTACTTTGGTATAGGATGCTGGGGCTCACTTTGTGGTGTGTAGGAAGGGCCGGTGTGAGTGGTGGTGTTGACTATTTGAGCATTAATCATAGAATCATACCATCATAGAAGATGAGGGTTGGAAGGGACCTCAGGAGGTTGCATAGAGTCCAGCCCTCTGCTCAAAACAGGACCAGCCCCAACCAGATCATCCCCATGTCGAGCTGAGCCTTAAAAACCTCCAAGGATGGTGATTCCACCACCTCGTTAGGTAACTTGTTCCAGTGCTTCACCACCCTCCTGGAGACAAAGTGACTCATCTTCCCTTGCTGCAACTTGAGACCAGTAAAATATCTAGTAGATAGTTGTTTGTGAATGCAGGGGACTGGAAGGGACAACTTGGGTCATCCAGTCCAGTCCTGTCTGTTGGCGTTTGGCAGAAAGGCAACTGGAAGACTCTCAGCAGTTCACCTCAAGGAACCGGGGTGCCACAGTGATCTACATAAACAGCATCCAGCGTCTGCAACAGGAGCAGGAGCTTGTGTGCTACAGCGAATGTAATAGTGGAGGCCAGGGGAAGCTTGAGT